CCATTCTGGGAGACACAGCAGCAGAGGGCTCCCATCTTGGGTTACAGCTCACTAAAAGAGCCCATTCCTCCCTATATGCTATTCCACCCCTAAGACTCCAGTGCGGGGTCCCAGTGACTCAGGCTGCTCTGAATTTGTCTCTACTCCACCTCCCCCGCGTGTGTGTCGGGGACGCCTGTGTGTGTGTGTGGACACATGCTCACTTGGTGCTGAGATGGTGCCGGGAGCTTCTGCAAGCTAGACAGGTTCTCTTACTACTGAGTCACACTCCAGCTCCCATCTATCGATGTCTTGAATCGGTCAGTATATGGGACAGGAAGGCAAGGGACATGGCGATCCATTAAAACCAACCGCGGTTTGAGCCTAGAACTGGGCACATTTGAGAAAGCAGAGTTCAATCTGGAACAGTGAGTAGGGTATGAAGACTAGAGGAGAGGGCAGGATGAGAACACACCCTTAGTGTCTGCTGTCCCTCTCTGAACACCCAGAACTTCCTAACTCCTAAGATCAAGTCATAGGGTTGGGTTAGACCCTCTTCTGCAGACACATGAGCTTGGTTTGCATCATTTTTTAATTTTAAGAGATTTATTAGCCGGGTGTTGGTGGAGCATGCCTTGAATCCCAGCACTCAGGAGGCAGAGGCAGGTGGATCTCTGTGAGTTCGAGGCCGGGCTGGACCGACAGCCTCCAAAACAATACAGAGAAACCCTGTCTCGTAAAACAAAACAAAACAAACAAACAAAAATAAAAATAAAAAAGAAAGCTCAGAGCCCACCTCTAGTGACACACCTCCTCCAACAAGGCCACACCTCTTAATCCTTTCTAAACAGTTCCACCACCAACTGGGAACCCAACATTCAAATACATGAGCTTATGGGGCCACTCTCTTTCAAACCACCACTGTGTATGTTGTATACGTGTGAGTACGAGTGCCCCCCCCGCCTGCTGAACTCGTAGATCACCAAATTCAACACAGCCTCAACTAAATGAAGTCCTGTCTCAAAAAACAAACAAAAAACAATCAACAGAGGGGAAAATAAGAAAGCCTCAACATGCTAGGTGAATTAGAATCACACACACACACGGTGCTACAGCTGAGCTGTTAAGAGCGCTTGCTGTTCTTGCAGAGGACCTGAGTGCAATGTCAGGCACTCACGTCAGGCAACTCATAACCCCAAGTAACTCCAGTTGCAGGGATCTGGTGCCTTTTTCTGGCCTCTGTGGGCACCTGCACAGTGTTCATACACACAGACACAGACACACAGAGGCATAAATAAAAATAAAACACGTCTTCTTTGAGGCTGATAGACCCAGGCATGTTGGCATATTCCTGTAACCCCAGCACTTGGGTGGGAGGTGATGGCAGACAAACTCTGTGTCTCCAAAACGTGTTGATCATTTTTAGAGTAAAGTTTCCATTTATCAGCCCCTTCCTGGGAGTCTTAATTCTTCTCTTAGGATTTCTTTCTGTGTCTGTGCACAGGTGTGCAATGCTCGAGGTGCCAGAAAAGGGCGTTGGATCTCGCAGAGCTGAAGTTACAGGTGTCTGTGAGCACCAGTGTGGGTGCTTGGAACCAAACCTGGGTCCCTTGAAGAGCAGCGGCATCTTAACCACTGAGCCTCTTCCAAGCCCCAAAATAACCATTTAAAACCATTTACTATGAATACATGCTTACCACATCATATGCCAGCAGAAGACAACTTTCAGGAGCCAGTTTTCTCCATCTCCCATTTAAGTCTTGGGGACTGAACCCGAGTCATCAGGCTCTGTAGCGGGTGTCTTTCTCTGCTGAACCACACCCCTGACCCCACAGTTAATTTTCGTGTATTGATCCGGTACCTTCCACAGTCCGTTCATACCTCTGCGTTTAATCGAGGGGCAGGTGCCTCTGAAGTCACTTAGGCTGGCCCGTACACAACAGGGCAAGGCTGGAGGTGGGTGCCAGCTGCAAGAGGGAGCTAATTCTGTGTGGAGGGGGGCAGTCAGTGGGGGAGAAGTGAAAAGGCTTGGCCCACAGGGTCAGGATGGGTGTGGAGCACGAATAGAATCGAGGCTGGGCCAGGCTTTCCACGAGGCTCACACTGATCAGGGTTGGGCAGGGATGTGGTACCTGGTTATGTGCCTTTGGCGTGCTGGTAACAGAAGCGCCAAGAAGCAGTGGAATAAGCCATCGGGAGCTCAGACCAGTCCTAGGCTGAAACAAAAGCCAGCTATCAGGGAGCCTGAGGAGGGTGGGGGAGCTGCCCTGGGAGGAGAGTTGGTGCAGAGACACAGGACCCCTCACAAGGAAGGGCACAGGAGGCTGGGGTGGCAAAATGACTCAGACAGGAGCCTGGCTTGCAGGTGGCGAAGTCTAGAGACAGGACAATGTCTTACTGCGCCCAAGCCGCTCAGGTTAGGGAGACCATCCTATCAATAGGGCCTATTGCTGTTAAGGTGAATTGAAACAATGCTCCTGCCACATGGGCCACACAGGTCCTGCTGGCTCTCTCATTCTGTCTTGTGTCTCCCAACACTGCGAGTCAGATGTACCTGCTATGCTCAGTCTTGGCTGGTAGGTGTTAGCACAGAAGGTGCTGTTCAGCCCTCACAGGCTGGAGCTGCCTGAGGTGATCACTTCACTGTGCATGTACATCTAGAAAAGCTGAGGAGGCATGCCATCAGGGTGCGCCTCTGTGCCTGGGTAACGAGCAGTCACTGCTCCTGTGCAGGTCAGCCATGCCCTTGCAGTTCCTAAGCGGGTCACTCCTACTTTCCCAGATGCTGAGAAAATTGCTCTTGGGGCAGACAGGCCAGCACCAGGGGCCAGGGCTGAGTTCTCAGAGGCCAAGGGGCCTGCAATGTCACGAGGTGCCCCTGGTGACACAAAGCATGCCTCCTTACAGGACACAACCAGTGTCTTGCTTGGGATCCAGAGGAGCACACGGCTATTGCCCACCTGACAGATTCCCGACGAAGGCCACCCGAAGACAGCTGTGCCCACAAGGGAGGCGGGGGAGGGCGGAGAGGGCGCTCAGCAGGGCACATGTGAGCCCGACAGCTGCAGGAGCACGGCACCGCACGGCTGCATGCTTTGTCAACACGGGAAATCCGACGGCAGGACGGCCGGCCCTCGCATTACTTGGGCCAGCCAGCTCTTTGACTCCACATTGCCTTTCAGACCGTCCTGGGCAATACAGGTACACCTCCCACCGAGGATGGCTGCCACCTGACTGTGCTGGCCAAGGATGAGCCACAGTGTTACAAGCTTGTGTACACTGGGAAGAAGCAGGGCACCGTGGGCACTGAGCACTGGGATGGATTTCCTCTTTGGGACTGCCGTATGTCCCTTCCTGGGTCCTTGTGGAGGTTCCATTACCAGTGAGCATTTACTAAGAACTTAGAAGAGATACTGAGTGTTTTGATCACGTGTGTGTGTGTGTGTGTGTGTGTGTGTGTGTGCACCTCATGAGTGCCTGGTGCCTGAGGGCAGAAGAGGGCATCAGAGCCCCTGGAGCTGAAGTTATGGATGGCTGTAGGTTGTCTGTAAAAGCAGCAAGTGCTCCTAACCTCGGAGCCATCTTTCCAGCCCTCACTGTACACTTTTTAAAAAGATTTATGTATCATGTACAGTGTTCTGCCTGCATATATCCCTGCGGGCCTGAAGAGGGCGCCAGATCTCATTACAGATGGTTGTGAGCTACCATGTGGGTGCTGGGAATTGAACTCAGGACCTCTGGAAGAGCAGCCAGTGCTCTTAACCACTGAGCCATCTCTCCAGCTCCACTGTACACTCTTAGTGCCCAGGACTGGGGCCACTGCTGGAGCTCAGTGGGTACCAAACTTAGCAAACAGGGTTCTAGTGTTCAGTATGTAGGGTCTCTTGGCCTCAGCAGGTGAACTCATGGGCTCAGACAACAGGCTCCTGCTTTCCCAATGCCAAGCTGGGTCTCTGGTGTCAGAGTTCAGACAGCCCAACAGCAGCATTTCTAGCTGGGCGCCCTAGGTGGCCCTGGGGAAAGAACAGGGAACAGCCAAGGGAAAGCCCGTGGTGAGGCAGTGTGGGGCAGTGGCTGGCTCTGAAAAGCAGCGTGGCTGGGAATGGGATACGAATGTTGTACTGGGGGTGGGGACCTCAGAACCATACTCTCACAACTTGGAAACGCGCACTGCTTCTTTTTGTATGTGGTGTTTGTGTATCTGTGCTTGTGCACGCCACATCCTGACCCGTCCTCTGGCCCTCCTCACCTGACTTTGAGGCAGTCTCTCACAGGACCTGGGACACACTGACGGGATACACTGGCTGACCAGCAAGTTCCGGGATCCTCCTGTTCCCCATGTGTGAGGCTTACAGGCAGGCAGGCTTTTCTGTGGGTGTTGAGGACCCACACCCCGTTTGTCATGCTTGCATGGCTGGCACTGCATGCACTGAGCCACCTTTTAGCTCAGAGCTGTAGTAAATGAATTTTTCCTGTGTGGAGATTGAAGCACCTCGCTGCCCCAAACGTCTGACTTCACAGGAGATGATGGCAGAGCTACTGGATAGCCAGGAACCCCGTCTCAACAGGGGCTTAGCTCCAAATCTCTGCTGTCACCTCCCCCTTGGCGGCAGCAGTGCTGGATCCTGACCCGGAGTCTCCCATGACTGCACTGGTTACAGTTTGTACTATATACAGACCTGGTGGTAAAATTCTGCCAGGTGGGGCTACTGTCAGTGAGTGGGCAGAAGGCAGCCAGTTAGTCAGCACAAACCACACAGAAGAAATCACAACCGTTCCTAACGACCCTGTCACAGGGGTCAACTAAGGCCATCTGCATATCAGGTATCTACATTATGACTCATAACAGCAGCAACATTAGTTATGAAGTAGTGGCAAGAATGTCACGGTTGGGGGTCACCACAACATGAGGAACTGTATTAAAGGGTCGCAGGCAGCATCAGGTAGGTTGAGAACTGATGGATTAATTACAAGGAAGTAAACAGGGCGCACCCAGGCTTCCTTGGAACCATAGACACAAGTTTCCAGCATGGAATCTTTATTAGACATGTTTGCTTTGCAGTGAAATGCTTCCATACAGTGTCCAGCCCACCAATCCTGAACACACCCACACCCCATGCTTGTAAATATTCAATGGTTAATGCTAAAGTTACTAAGTGGTCCCCAGCCCCTGCACCCCAGCCTGAGTAGGGCGCACAGGCCCATATGACCTCCTGCAGGTGAAACCTCTGGGTTACTCAGTCTGACAATGAGTAGACTAGAAACGCTGCCTGGGGGCTGGGAAGTTCCCTTGTGTGGACAGGCTTCTGGCCCTCCTGTTCCCCACCTATGGCACAGCCTCACCTGCAGACGGCCACCCTGCCTTGGGAGTGAACCTGCCTCTTTGATAGATGGGCACACCAGGAACTTGGGTGCCTTCCCCAGTGGCCTGTCTGTAATCTCCTTGCCTGACACAGCATGATCAGGTCTGCTCCCTGCTTGTACCGGGAAGCAGGGAGGCAGTTCCCAGCCCAGGCAGAGGGCCACCTAAATGTAGGATGCTTTTAAAGCATGAAACAGACACACCCCTACAACACAGAAGAGGCCTGGGGGAATTGGGAGACTCCTTGGCCTATGACCTGTGATCACATTCTAGGCGGTACAGGTATGAGCAAGACTCCTAGGAACATATTTTACAGATTCTCGCCTGGGCAGCCTTGGGAAAGCTGGAGTAAAGGGCAGATCTTTGAGAACACCGGCCTGCTCCAAATGAACACCATTCTGATAGCCGAGAGACACAAATAAAGTCCTCAGCGAACTCCAGAGAGGAAAGCGGCGGCAGCGGGCCGGGCAGCACCGTGATGCGGCGAAGTGCGGAGGTCCCGGGCAGGCCAGACAAGCCAGGGTGGTGGAGTGTGGGAGCAGGGCTGGGATCTTCCTGTGAAGAGCAGCAGCATGGCAGAGGGAGGCTGGAATGCTAGGCTGTCCTCCTGGGTATATGGGGCTGGGCCAGCAACCTCATCAGACTAATGCTTCCTCGAGGAACACACTATGGGATATGGGAGGTAGCCAGAGGCCACTGAAAATGTACACAGGAATCTTTGACACACTTCCCCTTTTCAAAGACTGGCTTTAGACTCCACTCCAAGAGTCAGACAGATGCTGGGGTGTGGGGAGACCACCGTGTGGTACAAAGCAGCAATACATAGTGTTAGTTTGCATAGCTTGCACTCTTGATAGAATGCTCCCTGGTTAGGAAATACATCCTGCACCCACCGCCGGCAGACAAAGCTGCAGTGCGCCAGGCTGCAGCCAGCATGCCAGGGAGGGCAAGGGAGTCAATGGAAAGTAAGCGGGCATGGTGGTGGTAGTGGTAGGGGGTAAGGGAAAGGAGGAGGAGGAAGAGAGGAAGATGGAAGGACCAGGAAGAGCAGAAATCCCACAAGCACCTCAGGAGCTGTGTGGGCCTGGCTGCTGAGCAGGCAGAGGGTTGGAGAGTGGGGACACTTTTATTTCTTCTGAAGTGGTTTCTGAAGGAAAACTGAACAGACACAGGCCTGGTGCGAGGAGGGATCTCTGCCCCTGGAGTGAGCTGTTCCTCCAGAGAGAAGGAACTCCAGTCAGGCTAAACATTAGCCAACACTGCTAGTCAAATGTTAAGAGGCTGAGCCCTCCACACTGTTAAGAACCAGGACTTGGTAATTTTCATTAAATGTCACGGCCTGCAGCTTCCAGTCCACAGCACTCTCAAAGGAAGCGTGGATGCCTCACCCCGGCAGAAGCAGAGCTAGAAACACCACAGTGCAGGACAAGGTGAACCCTCCACCCCACCCAGGGCTGCAGCGTTCAAGCATGGCTGTGGAGACAGAGAGGCTGGACCAGGCTACAGAGGGCAGCTGTGAGCTGGGCAACTGGGCAGCCCCAGACTCCAGTCAGACTCCTCTACCCGAGGACGCCGCTGACCGCTGGCTCCCAGCTCTCAGATGATGGGGATGACACATTTACAGTGCAGGATGAGCAGCTGCACGGTCTCCTCCACAGTTGGGGCACACCCGTCCAGCCTTCCCAGCCTTGGGCTAGGCTTCTGACCCCATCACTCCGACATCCCACCTACAGCAGTTACAGGGCAAGACACTGTCCTGGCCCACCTTCCTGCCTGTGCACCCATGCTCTGGAAGGCCCAGGCTGTCCCCTAGAGCCACCCAGAGGCTGGTGGGCTAGGCTGTAGACAGTTCCCATCTTGCTCTCTGCCACTGAGCAAATGAGGCCCCTCCATAAAAACCCTGCCAGGGGAGGCTGGCTCACACCTTCCGTGAGTCTAGCGCCTAGTCAACAATGTCTGCTGGCAGTGCTGCCGCCCCCCCCCCCAGGCTGCCATGTGAGGGGTAGGCCTAGATGTCACCACAGGAACGTCTGCAGTGCTGCTGAGTGCTTATGTGCAGAAAACAAAGCATGAAAAATTATCCCCGTCTCCTCTCCAACTCCCTTCCCGTCACATACCTTAAACCAATAGACAAGAACAAAACAAAAAAAGGAGAGAAAGCTCCCTAAATCAAGTCTTTCAGGCTTGTCTACCTTTCTCCAGATAGAAGAGCTGGTGGAGAGGGGCCTCCTCAGACCCGGAATGGCAGAGACGGCGTCTCACTGGAGGCGGATGATGTGGAAGTTGGGGTGGGGCACGGAGACAGACACAACTGTTTTCAGGACAGATTTGATTCTTCTGCGCTGGGAGGTAGTAACTGTCACCCCAGGGAGCCCCTGTTCCTTGAACCTATGATTCACCTACAAGTCTTGTGCACTAAGCAGCTTTGGGGTGCTGAGCTGGTCACCTGTGCCCTTGGTCACGTGCCCTCTGAGCGCATTCTCTGCCGCACCACTGTCCCATGCAGGCAGCCGCTGGTATTCCTGACAGGCTCGTTGTCTCAGTGCTCACTTCCTTCACGAAAGCTTGGACTACGTGGTTGAGGCCCAGAGTCCTGCCTGGTCGAGCCAGCTGTGGATCAAGACTTTCCAAAGTATTTGCTTAGATGTGGCCCTTTCTGCCCCCAGTGGCTCCTTAAGGAACATTCTCCTGTTGAGAAGACACAGGTGGAGAGCAAGCCAGGCCGGGCTGCTCTGGACAGGCAGAGGATGGAGTCTGGAGTCAGCTGGAGAACACTTCTGGAGCTCCAGGGCTCATCTACCCTTCCGACAGGCCTGGAGACAGCTATTCTCCACCAGCAGGGCTGTGTGTGGCGCTGGCAGCGGCCTCAACAGCAACGCCAAGGGCCTCCCAGCTGGCCTGTAGCACCACTGTTCTATGTCACCATTAGAAGAGGGGACAGCATTTAGAGTGGTGCTTGGGGCCAGTGGCCCAGGCAGATGCTTCATACTACCTAGGGTGACTATTTGGCTTTCTAAAATAATTCCAATCATTTCTGTTGCTGTTGTTTGCCCAAGGTGGTCAATCTCTCTCTCTCTTCTTCATGTCCTTGGTAGATAGCTGCCTACATTCCAACGTAACTTCTCCCCCATCCTGGTACTAGGGATTGAACCCGGAGCCTCGTGAATGCTTGGTCAAGAGTGAGCCACATTCTCAGCCTCCAAAGCTCTGTGAGCAGCGGCAGCCTGCCTTTCCCACCGCCACAGCCTTTCTGAGCGGCAGCCGCTGCGGTTCCCCTACATGGACCCCAGACTCCCAATTAGCAAGGTAAACCTTTCACCCATCCTCTATGCTCCTACCCTCCCTGAGGGACAGTCCTAGCTGCCTGTAACCCACTGCAATCCAGATCCTCTAAGAGTACAAAAGTAGGTGTCCACGGCCCTCTGCCGTGCCATGAGCGAGCGCTGGGGTGTCACTGTTGGGAGATGCCACAGTTCTGTCAGGAACACGCTTGCTCGCTGATAGGGCTATGAATAAGTTAGTTTTCATTGACAGTGCATCCTCAGAGCGGGTTCTATCACGCAGTGCCTTCCCAGTCACCCGGGGGCTCCACAACACCATTGGTTACTTTCCTGACTTTCTTCATATTCTCCATCACTCCTGATGTTGTCACTCTGGAAAAGAAAAGAAGCCAAAATGTTGGGGGAACCCATAACCCTGCAGTAAAGCTTCTAGGCCTAGGTGGACACCTGCTCTGCTTCCACTAGTGTGGTGGGCACTGTGGGGTGCTATCTGGTGCTATGTGGTACTGGCCAGGCCGCTTGGCCTCTCTGAGTATAAGGATAAAGGGAATTCCTACTTTCCCAAGCAAGCTATCATCACTGCCAACATCCATTTTTCTCTCTTTCACTAGTGGCCAGAGATTGTAGGCCATATTCATACGATTGTTATGGTTATGGGACATTCAGGAAAAGCAGCTAACTAGTGGGGTCACTACACACAGTCATTCCCAAGGCACAGGACAGAACCACGGGCTCAGTGCTCAGAACTGCCCCGTGTACAGTTAGCACTGTTCCTCGTGGTCTGGAGCTCCCCAGCCATGGCAAGAAGCCCCCGGCTTCCATTGCACGCTGCTGCTGGTTTGTCGCTGCCGCCGCCGCCTGCCTCAGTTCCTTTCGCAGCTATCCTGACCGACCCTCCTCCTGCCCCTCACCTAGTACTCAGGTTCCCACGAGACAGTCGCTAGTGCCCACCTGCACTGCTGGGCCTGCGCCGCTGCTTTCACCCCGCTAGTGGCTGTGGCCTCCCTCTGAGCAGCGACAGAGCCTATACTTGACAAGCACTCTAGGGTGATCCTGCAGCCCTAAGGGTGTGTAGAAAGGAGAGAAGGCAAGGTGAGAACAGCAGCCCGCACACTAGGGGCAGTGACCAAGCGGGACAGCGGAGAGACACATGGTTGGCTCGATGAGATGGTCACTCCCTCTGAAGACAGAGAAGGTGGCCTAGACAGCTCCCCGGTGCTGCTGCCGGGCCTGGGTGTGGAGCAGACTAACGCCCTAAAGCCTCTGGACAGGACAGGACAGAGTCACATCGAATACAGTTCTGTTCCCATGCCAACAACCAGTATCTGTCTCAGCCCACACCGCAGGCTGCCACCCTCTCTCACGGACCTTGTGTAGAAGGGACTCTAGTGACAGGCTCTGGAGCCACCCAGGTCACAGGTGGGAAGGGAGGCCTCCTATGCAGGTCTGAGCAGCATGTTCCAGAGAGCCAGCCAATAGTGTGCTGAGAACAGAGCGGCGCTGGGGACCCTCGCCAGCTCCACATCTGTCCCCATTCCTGACTGACCTCCATGACTCCCCACACCCAAAGGGCAGAATAAACGCAGATCATCCGTCACAGCAGGCTGCAAGCAGACAGCGTGGCTGAAGCTGCCCATGGACACATCTGTTTCTGTGCCTAAGACATACTTGGGAGCTACACTGTGAGAGGCCTGGGGAAGAGGATCCGGGCATCTTGGTTCTTTGTCTCCCCTGTGGAATAGGAGCTTGGAGAGACTTCTGGCCCCGCCCGCCCTCTCCTACACACCACCCAGGTCAGGAGCAACCAGACAGTAAGGATGTGCAGAGCAAGGCAGACAGTCCAAGGCGAGTCAGGGAAATATTTGTAACCCACGCTGGCAGGCTCCAGGAGAGATGTTAGAGACAAGGAGGGAAAGCGAGCCCCCATGTGTTCCTTCCCAGGCTGACAGAAAAGCCATAGGCATACGGGGTGATGGCCACTTGGGCTCCACAGGCAAGCCTGGGCTAGCACAAGGACGGAAGACACGGAAGTAACCCAGGACATGGCCACACAGGTCGCGGAGGGGCAGCCACTGCGAGGCTTGTTAGGAAGGCCGTGGACTTGTTCTGAGGGTGCGGAGGGAGGGTAGGGAGCACAGGCCACAGTTCCTTCACATACCGGGGGCATCACTCGTGGTGGGGTCAGACCTGGTTGCTCTTACAGAAGGCAAACACCAATTGTGGCTGATGCCTTACAGAGAGCTGAAGACCTACAACATTGAGGCCAGAGCTCTGCTTGCCTCTGGCACAACTTATTTGAAGAAGACTTCAGAGGTGCCATCAAGAACACACTCCCAAGCAGGAGGGGGTAACAGCCCAGGTGCCACGCTATCCGCCTGCTCTGAGAGATCACCACCAGTGGCAGGTGGGGGACCCCCATGGGTCTGTTCTGCCTTCACAGACTCTCAATCTCCAGGACTCTCTTTAGCCTGCCTCTCTCCCTTCGTCCTTAGTGTAGAGATGGGACCCGGAGGCTTGTGCACATTAGATAAGGCCCCATCCTATGTTCCAGGGGTCCCAGTCCAGTGTCTTCACTGAGCTAAGGTACTCTGCCTCCAACAGTTCCTGAGCTTCCGCTCGCCCTCAGAGCCCAGGCTGCACTGAAGCTCCTGGTGACACCAGTGTCCTAAATAAGTAAACCCGTGTGGCCACTAAGCAAGCCACCCCCTGCCACTGCAGCGCCCCTGTCACAGTAATGATAGGACTCCATGAAGCCCAGAAAACACCCAGCATGACCTGAGCTCTGCTTCCTTGTCACAGGAGTGTAAACGGAGGTCACCAAGGCATCACCTCCATCTCCTGCATTCTCCCTGGGCTATACCTTGCCAGAATGGAGAATGTGCTCTCTCTAGTTACAAGGCTGAATGGAGTCTATGTACTTCCCTCTCCCTTCCTCCCAAGAGTCAAACACACTCAGAGTGGCTTTCTGTAAAGTTTCTCACTCTCAGACTGACAGCAAAGTAAAACTTTAAAACAGTGCCATGAAGGTCAGGTGTGGTAGCTCACTCCTTTAATTCCAGCACTTGGGAGGCAGAGGTCTCTGTGAGTTTGGGGCCAGGCTGGTTTACATAGCCATCCAGCAATACAGTGAGAACCTGTCTCAAAAAATAAAACACTGCTATGAGACACACGTCCTCTTTCCAAGGCACAGTGGTCTAGAATAGGAACACAGGGAACACAACTCCCACAGGGCCACTTCACAGATCTGCTCAGCAGAGGACGCTGTGACCTAGTCACTCAGCCAAGTACCCACCACTTTGCGGGGAGAGTTAAGAGGGCCCCCAGTTGACTTGTGTTTGTGCCATTCACAAAGACTCTGCTACCTCTGGACAAGTAGCTGGAGGCCCTCCGGTTCCTCCCACTGTGTGGAAAAGTTATTTCTGCATGGGGGATGAGGTGTGGTCAGGGCCCAGGCCAGGATCCACTTTGCGCTCAGAGCTGCCCTATGAGCCATGATGTCCTGACAGCTCAGCCTGGGCTGCACCTCAGCCTTTGAGCAGGGCAGGGGGAGTCTCAGCCTGAGCTGACCACCACACACACAGCCCAGCTCATCAGAGTCAGAGCTGTACACAGGTTACGGCTCATCTGGCATATGACTGCCTTTCCTGAAAATAAGGCCTGCAGTTCCGAACCCTGTGACTCAGATGCAGGTCGGAGGTCCTGCCTGCTGTCAACCTGTGGTGACTCAGAAGACGCCATTTTCAAACACCAATAGCGATGCTGGCAGCCTGACAGCCCATTCTAAACTGGCCACTGGGAGCTGCTGCAGTGATACTCAACAGGATGGCAAGTTCTAATTTTCCCTGACAAAACTGAACGATGGCTGGCAGATACTGCACTTCAAACTAGCTAAGCACGCCAGGGGCTCCAGTGTCCATGTCCTTCTGCTAAAAATAGAGGCACCACCTCCAAGCTGTAGGATGCTGAGACCAGGGGACCCACTGCACACCATGCCTTTCAGTTCAGAAGAGGGAGGGTGGGTAGGTGGGTGAGCAGCTTACACAGACTCCATCTCCAGGTCATCTTCCTCCTGAGAGAGCTGCAGGTAGGGGTTATCTGAAGCCGGGCGGAATTTATACCCCGTCAGGACAAAGAACACCAGCGTGGCTGTTTCATCCAGCAACTGCAAATTTAAAATCCACCCCAAAATAAAAGGGTTAGCAACACTGTTCTTCAGAAAGCAATGGAAGCAAACCAGCTGCAGCCTCCTGCGGTCTCCACATGCTTTACCAAGAACAAGAGCCAGCTGCTTCAAGCACGGCCAGAGCGGACACTGAGGTGTTCCGTGGGAACCACTTTCTATTTTATGATGAGAGGATCTTGGTGTGGAACCCAGGCTGGCCTTCTAGGTGGCTCACCGCCTTCTGCCTCAGCTTCCCCAATGCTGGGTTGCAGTGTGCCATTACACTGGTTCATCTTATACCTTCGCTGTCCTGCTTGTTCTTCCTTTCCCAGTGTATGTGCGTGCGTGTGTGCGTGCGTGCGTGCGTGCGTGCACGCTGTGAAGTGGAGTGTGGAGGTCAGAGGACAACTTACTTATGGGACTGCAATTTCTTCCATCATGTGGGTCCTGGGGATCAAACTTAGGCCATCAGTCTTGGCAGCAGACACCTTCACCATCTGAGTCATCTTCCCAGCCCAAGAACAAGGGGCATGGGGTGAAGGGTCCATTAAATTAATCCTTCTTTTTAAAAAAAAGGCTTATTTTATTTACATTTGTGTGTATATCTACATGTGTGACTGAGCAGGCCAGAAGGAGGTGTTGGCCCCCTCGGCTGGGTTTATAAGCATTGTGAGTTGCCCACCCCATGTAGCTACTGGGCTGAACTTGGGTCCTCGGGAAGACTAGCAAGTGCTCTTGACTTCTGACTCACCTCTGCGTATGTAGCACTTGGTGACCCATGACCAGTTCTAGTATCTTACAAGATCGTTTATGATTATAATAAAAAGATAGGTTCAACCGCCTCCCCCAAAACAACAACCAAAATCCCCAAACCAAGAAGAAGTGAACTCAAAACTGCTCAAGTTCTGAGACTGAGGGCAAAGGCGGATAAATTCTAATTACAGAGCAGATCTCATTCTCCCTGCTTGAGGTTTCTCTCTTCAAAGACTTAGAATCAATCACTAATGCAATTACATCCAGATTTTTCATGTAACCCAGCAGTTCTTCTGGGCACACAGATCATTGAACTTGGAGAGCAGAGGAGAGGGAGGGTCTGAGCAGTCATTCCCAGGTAAGTCAGACACAACCTTAAGCTACGGCCCAAAGCATGATCCTCAGCACAAATCCCAGACTGTCCCCCAAGAGCAGCAGACCTGGTAGAGCCACTTCCACTGGAATGGAACAGCAAACTTGAGAAGAAAGGCGATGATCCTGGTGAAGTAGATGTAGCACACAATCTACAGAAAAAGCAAGTCAGAGATTAGATACCGCTTTCTGCCACTAATTAACTGCAAAGCAGAAAATAGTTCCCCAAAGGAAAAGATGTGGTCTATAGTCCCGGTTACCAATTCCCAGGGAAAGCGGGGGCTCTGCTCTACACGTACCCACGTGGTGGCTAAGGCGCTGACCAGACCCTCCCGGGAGACTAGCCCTTTAGTATGGCTGTTCTAACCCTTTCCTGCCACCCACATGCAGGTCCTTTGGCGTCAGGCTCCAAGGGCATTCTCTTTCTACTGCTTGGTGGCAGTTCCAGCAGCTACAGCAAAATGGTCACACGGGGAACACACAGATGCCGTAAGCAGCTGAGGCCCATACTCCAGGACATACAGAATCACACACTCTAAGCTGCTAACACCTTCCTCTCCCTTCAATGAGGTCTCAGTGAGCTGGCCATGAGACCACACTGAACACTAGACCAGGCTGGGGACGGCTAGGTCTGCAGGCCAGGCCAGGCGTGTGTGGTGTGGTGTCTCCCTGGCTTTGTATCACCATAGGCATCAGGAAATGCTGTGGTGACAGCTGCTCTGACGATGACACATGATCCACGTAAACAAAACAAGAACGCCAGCTGGATGGGTGTCTGCCCTGCGTTTCTGCTGCCACCCCCAGCGTCAGAACGTTTGCTAGGGCAGAGCTGTCAAGCTTCCTTGAGAGAGTCAAGACAACACCGGGAGACTACAGTCCAGGGCTGCACCCACACAAGGCCCGTGTTCATCACTGACTTGCTGGATGCCATGGTGCCCACCTTTAATCCCAGCACTTGGGAGGCAGAGGCAACGGACAGAGGTTAGCCAGGGCTACACAGCGAGTGACACCCCCTCTCCAACAAAAACAAAACCCCAAATCCCAAAACTAAAGCAGCCTCAGTTTTCTGTTTTTAAGAAATACAACACAACTAGCTCCTGCCTGGCAAAGGGAGAGTGGTGAGCACTCCGTAACTCTCTGTGGAGAGCTGCAGGACAGCACGAGAGCGCACCCACATTCCTAAGTGGGCACGCAGGGCAAGTCAGGGCATGGCTGGGTGTGGCTCAGGCCCGGAGATGCCCTTGGATGGAAGGCACCCGGACGCCACACAGGCCCGGGCCCTTTCCTGCAGCTCTGGCCCCACATCAAGTGGACGCGCTGCTTTTCTAAGTACGAAGGCTTCAAAGCAGCAACCCAGATTTTTGTTCCCACTTTAAGAGAGGCGATGTGAGGTTGTGAGGCTGCTGGCAGGTCTAAGTGCAGTAGCTGCTGTCACCAGGCCGGCTCCCTGATCTTACTTACAGACTTAGTTGTGTTTTTACTCACCAAGACGTAGTAATGTCTGAAAAGCTTCAGCTTTGCTAAGTTAATGGCAGCTACAAAGAACAGAAGGAAAAGCACATTAACTTTCTTTTCGTTCATTCACCGTCCGGCTGTCCTGCCACCTACTCCCATTCATCCATAAGGAGACAAAGTCTTGCTGTGTGGGCCAAGCTGCTATCAGGGAAACCCCACCTCAGTCATAAGCAGTATGAAGCACTGTGCCTAAACTTCATCCATTTAAAAAAAAACAAAACTGTAACCCTTCTATATACCCGAGTTCGTGCAAATGTACACACGCACACACACACACAAGAAATGGAGCAAGTTGAGTGCCTGGCGAGGGGCATGAGACAGTCAACCTTGCAACTGTTTGGGACAACCCCTCACTTGGGAGATGGATGAGCAGAAACGATACTATGGATGGGGTCTCAGTATAGACAAGGGCCAGAGCTAACCTCTCTCACCAGCATCAGCACAAGGCTGGCCTAAATAAATGACCATCTGAGGGCCTCCCACAGGGGCAAATTCAGTCAACTCTCAGGTACAGTTGGCAAATTTCACTTTAGTTTCCCTTACATGCTTCATAGTTAAGTCCTTTGAAATCAGGCTCCTTGGTTAAGCTCTACCTCCAAGAACATTCAAGGTCAGCCAAACCAGGACAACCAGCTTCCTGACACTGCCTATAGCTATGAAATATTGATGACCACAGAGAGTAGCCTGACTCCCTCCCCGATTAGCAACCCTTTCACTCATCATAGCCTTCCTGCAGGAGGCAAATTAATTTTGCTTAATAGCATTCAATTACTGATTCCGTTTAAGAATGGGACTGTGGGTGGCAGACATTCAAATTTTCTCTTCCTTTTCCCTCTGGCTCATGATTAGCGGGGGGCAACGAAGCTTAGCATGCCCACAGAAATTCCAGGAACCCTAAGTCATCAAGGTGATTAGCAACTAACAGTGCTGCCAGGTCTTTTGAGAGAATAAAGGCAGCCTTTCCAGAAAGTTCCAAAGTCTAGAGATAACACTGGCTTTCCATGCGTGCCTGTCTGTGTGCAGTCATGCATGCATGTAGGAACAGGCACACACACCCAGCAATCGAGGGAGGTGACAAATGGCGGATCACCTAACACTCTCATCTCTGAGAATCTGAGTGTTTGTTTTTTGTTTTTTTAAACAAACTTTCTGGTTCTCACCCTTTGCTCATCCAGTCAATTCTAGGTGACCATGCCCTGACTTGCACCAGGCACTGGGTACAGGCAGTGCTCTGGGCAGCTCCCTGTGGTCAGGGACACTCCAGAGGCTGAGAAAGGGTGTCACTGAGGACATAGGAGGTGAATCATACTGTCCTAGGACTTGGGTTTCACATGTATGCACAGCCCTGCATCTCCTGCTTCCATGACAGGGCCAGCTCCCACCCTGCGGGAGAGCCAGCCAAAGCTTGTACTACAGCCTGTCATCCAGGGCAACCACTAACTCTCCTTTCCTAGGTAGCCATAAAGCGGTCCATGCTCTCAATTCCTCTCCAAATGCTGCGGGCTAAAGGAGTCCTGCAAATGGACACTTTGCACCTGGAGAAAAGATTGCCTGGCAGGGGGTGTCCTGCTTTCCGTCAGAGTTCCAGGGGCTGAAGCAGGGATGAGCTAACTGAGGGAGGATGGGACCAGGCTGCGGAGGGTGAGGCAAGGTTTTCCAGGGGCAGTGAATCAGGCAGGGACTGAAACAATGGGACACCTCTGTGGGACAGTCTCATGGACAGGCGAGAGAGGAGCTCAGCATGCTGGCCCTCGGGGGAGCTGGCAACAGAGCCAGACAGAAAATAAAGCTAGGCGAAGATGCAAGACCGAACTTGTCCTTGCTGGTTCTGAGGACCTTGGGAAGTTTTAACAGAGAAAGCCAACGGTAAGAGCCCAGCTGAGTTAATGCCGCTGCAGACCAACAGTGACCCAGTGAGGTCAGGACAGCGAGCTGCAGCAGGCTTAGTCAGACACTCTGGCAGAGACCAGGAAGGAGTCTATGGGGAACTTCAGGGAAGGAAGTGAGGGGCACAAAGGGGGTGAGAAGAGGGGTTGAGGCCCTGCAGATCTTAGGGCTAATTATCGAGAGTATGAGCAGAAAGTGACACGCTGGCATCTCCCTGGCACCACATACCATGATGTCATACCTCCAGGCTACACAGACACTCTCTGAAGGGGGGTGGTGAGGTGGGCTACAAACAGTTCTTTAATTGTGCCAGTGGGCCTCACACCCTCACACCAGAAGAGTCCCTACAGAACAGCACCATGTCACCCAGTATTCCCAGGGCTGACAAACAGGGCTTAGAAGAATATGAAGAGCTCTAGGTCATTTCCTAAACCAGTCATAACACCTTGCTAACACCATGACATCAGTTAGCACTGCTGCTGGCAGGGACCAGGCCCCTCAGCCCACAGTCTCGATCCTGTTAGTCAGCTCCCTCTACCATCCCTGACACACACGCCCTGCAAGCTTCTTAGTGGGGGTGGGGTGGGGGTGAAACAGGACAGCAGAGCACTCAACCGTACAGGACCAGTGCAGCTGTGCGTCCAAGGTTCAAACCTCTATTCTTCTGGCAATTCTACTCGTGTGATACTAGGCAAGTCACCTGCCTTCTCTGTTTCAACTTCAATTTGTTCATCTATTGAGGCAGAAACAATAACATCGACCTTTAGGGTTACAGGGGTAGCCAGCAGGGCAATACAGGTAGTGAACAGCTTATCAACTATGGATGCTGTTCCAAATTTATCACAATCTTGTTGGGTTACATGGGACTAGCCTGCATCAAGGGTGGCAGAAACCCAGACTCTAGTAACCCTGGAACACAATGTGAACCTGGGAGCAGTGCAGCCTGCCATACAGTTGACAAGTCAGGGTGTGCACAAAACAGCGGAGCAGCTGCAGGGTGAAACTTCCCAGCTTCATGAGGACAGCAGCCAGCAGCAGGTCACAGCCCGGACCCACGCTCCCTTTCCTCTCTTCCAAAGATTTCCTGGGAGTTTAGGAGGCTGTCGGCTTGCTGCTCCCCGGACCAGACGGAGCTGGGCTCTCACGGGAGTAAAAGCTTGTGGAGGCCTGGCGGGCTCTCTCTGACTCTGCTACATTGGAGTAGCGAATATGGTGAAGGAATGAGCAGCCAAGTGGGAGCCAGGCGCCCTCGGTCCCAGCCTGTGGGGGCACCAGACCTTGAGCAGAAACCCACTTCCCCTTCGGCCTGGGAGCAGGCATCTGTGTAATGTTTACTGAAAACAATTCAGTGCTCTAAAGCTCTTCATAGGGCTGAGATAAGGGCTTGCTCACTGAAATACCATGCCTTTCACACCTCCTACGGCTAGATGCCTCTTCCTGTTTCTCTGTGGTGTCTCCCCGATTCTGGGGCTGGAGATTAGACCACCAGCCAGGAGGAAAGAATGGTATGTAGATGAATGGCAGAAGTCCTTAAAAAGGGAAGCTCCTTTTTCAGAGAGAGACTCCTCCTGAGAGCTCTCCTAAGCGGACTTGGAATCTCCTCCTAAGCTGACTTGGGAAGCATAAAGTTTTCTTAAAGCAACCGACCGGTCTCTGTGTCATCTATCCCGACCACCTCGCTACATTCTTGGATGCAGGCCGCACAGCAGGTGCGACACCAGCCCTACTCCTGCGCAAGTCCACACGCCCGCCCCTGACCTTGGCATCCTCCTCCTGGCACCTGCTCCTCATCTGGAGGGAGCTTCTTTAGGGCAGAGGCCCCTTGTCCAGGGAGCACCACAATGGCCAGAGCTTCACTAACTGAACCGTTTTGTTTGTTTGTTCTCAAGATAGGGTTTCTCTGTGTAGCTATGGCTGCCCTGGAATTCACTCTGTAGCCCTCAGAAATCTGCCTCCCTCTCTGCTGTCACCGCCACCACTTGGCATAAACTGAAGGTTTCTTATGGAATCTGGCAAGTCTCATCCGTGGAGGTCAGAGCTCCTGCTGGGAGGGGAACGAGCAGCATGACCACAGCTCCAGGGTTCCCCCAGTGAGAGCACCTGCAGACTCTTCCCGCTGCAACCATCGTTGTCTGCTGAGAGTGATGCGAGCAATGAGGACGTCCCCACCATGTCATTTCTGCTTCTTCTCGCAGGCGCCTTGGAGTAGGAAGCCATGCTGTTAGAGATGTGTCTGGGATGGATGAAAGATCTGGCCTGGTGAAGGCTGGGCAGGCTCAGCCTGTAAGTGATGAAGCCAGGCCTCAAGTCCAAGGCCAGCTTCCTTGGCACCAAGTTCTCTCCACCTACACCCCACACAGGAGAAGAGCAGCTCCACTTCTGAGCTGCTCCCTTCAGGGTTCCTGCTGATGTCGGCCAGTGCCATTCTCAGTAACAGCTGATGACTTACGGGCACACAGAAGCAAGGCCCAGGACAGCTTCTTAGTCTCTGCCCCAGACTGAAGACCTTGCTCCTTCCTCTGCTTCTGCCTTGCTCTTGCTCCTCCCGGCTCTGCCTTGGAGGCAATGCTTAGTCAAACACAAAGGCTGAAGGAGTAGTTTTTGCCAGCAGCATGAATCGCTGATTCACTGTGATCCTAGCCGCCGCTCCCCCACAGTCTGCTTAAGCTGCAGCTCAAGCTCACCCTTCAGAGAGCAGAGGAGCTCTGTGCACGCTCACACTGGCCTTATGGCCTATGCACAGCCTCTCTATCACCACCATTGTCAGCAGTGAGACAGGCCACAGAGATCTGGGACTACTCTGGCCTTAAAGTGTTAGTGGGGGCCCTACAGCCTCCACAAGGAAGCCCCACGGGCAAATCTCAGACCGTTTGGAGAAGCAAGCGCAGGCAAAGGGGCTGTAATTGACAATGAGGGTGTAAAATGAGCTAAGTTACTAAGAGCACAGTGCGCTTTCCTCTTCAAGCCATCAGGGGAGTGTGGAAAGTGATTAAAATCTATTCCCACATGCATTTAAAACAACGGCCCATGAGATGTCAAAGTAAGTGACCTGAACCATCGGGGCTGTGCATCTGCACCAGACCAAGCCTTCAATGACAGAAATGAAAGTGGACCAGCTGGACAAGTGGCTCAG